TGGTAAAAACTAAAGCATTTTATGTGAAATAGTTTTTTTGGAAACGGTTTTTACGTGTGAAAATTCATGAGAAACTATAATCCAACGTCGAAATGAGCAGTTTTAAGTGAATTAATATCTTTCAGAATCGTTAAACTAAAGGATGGTGGCAACAATTTGGCATTAATTATAATTGTGTCAGTTGTAGCTTTTTGCAATTCTACATGTCAATTAGAGCTTAAAACCTAATTAAAATCTGCATTGTTCGCGAGTGAGTTGGTATGCCTAAAACTAAGTTGGTATTATGAATAAGTAAAAAAATTAAGTCTCAACTCTGATACGAGATTGTCAATATTTTTTTTTCAGGTTTTTCGTGAAGTCTCAGATGCACAAGCAGAGAAAGCGTTTCCGACTTAAAGTTTCCGGCTCAAATAGTTAATCTAGAAAATGTTGCTAAGATTCAAAATGTTTGTATTCTTGTTTGTTTTTTAAGCAGATTGGTTCAAAATTGAGTCTCACTGTAAATAACCGAATAAAATCAATATATTTTCTGTAGTTTGAGAATGGGCTCAAAGACGGTCATTTGATGGCTAAAGATAAACCCAATGTCCTTTTTAAAAAAAAATTTAATTTTTATTGGGAACGGTCTGTACGTGGGGAAATTAGTCAGCAACTAAAATCCGACGTCGAAATGAGCAGTCGAAAAACTAAGAGTGCACCTGCTCGTTTTTTTAGCTATTTAAATGAAAGGTTTTAATTTAAGTCAAGCAATTTAAAGTGAAGCCAATTTAAATCAAGAGAGCTTTGGCACCGATCCGATGCCAAAGTTCACAGCTTGCCTTCGTCATTTCGTTTCACATTTCAAAGTTCAGCGAAAAGGCAAACAATCTGAGTTTTCACGAAATAGTTAACTTTTTGTTACAAATAGATGTCCGAAAAAAATGCTTTCAATTTATTTCCAGTAAATATTTGGAAATAAATTGATGATTGTTGTTTGTATCTACATGATTTTGGATAAATAAAGTTTTTCTTGATTTTTTTTTTCTCAAATTTGCAATAAAGTTTCCAAAAAATCCAACTTCCGAAAAGTTCAGAAATGTTCTTGAACAATTTAAAGTTTTATTTTTGTGAATGGACATTACTGGAACAGCTGTTTGGCTGCTCCTACTAGTCTTTTAAGAGCTAGATTTAGGATTGAAATGGCCGCGACAACGAGCCAACGTTTATTAAACAATTTCATTTTCTTTTTTAAATATGTAAATTTCTGATCATCCGGCTAGTTGATTAAGTGTTAAAAAGATGATTTGTAGAAGTTCCAACGGTGCTTGATCCTTTATTTAGACCGTAACATGACAGAGAAAAACTACTAAACGTTAAGATATTAGGCAATAAAACTTGCTGCAAACTGCGCCAAACATGAAATCTGCCGAGCTGCAAACAGAACAGCTCAAAAGTTAATTGGTAGTTTTGTTTGAGGCTTAGCGAAAATAAAAGGTATCTATAAGCATGAGATAATTGCATTAATTATTTGTTAATGAACGAAGTGGGATTTATCAGGTTATTCAGTCGTTTTTTAGGAAAGTCAAAAATTGGTTCTTTTCAGTAGTTACAAAAACGGTTGCTTAATGGCAGGAAAACTACGCTCTCGGAAAAACAAGTTAGCGGCGCAAAAAAACGTGAGTTACATCTTATTTCGAAATTGGATTTAAATTTTGAGATTTCCAGCGGATTTTTCTTATATTTGTTATTGATAAAAGAAGAAAAATCATAAAAGATACCTTAAACGTGATTTATTGTTCGAAAGTTAAAAATAGTTCTGAAAAAACTGTTCACTTTTTCGGTGCTCTTTGACTTTTTCTGAAAAATTAACTCTATTTGTCGGAACGACTTGTCTAATAAAATGAAGATTAAATAAGTAACGATTAAATAAGTTGTTGTTTCACTAGCCGAAGGTGAGATGGAATTTATTTTTAGTTCGGCTAGTTCGCACGCAAGATTGAAGACAGCAATTAGGATTTGCGTGATATATCATGTTGAAGCTTTTTGAGTCATGATTCGGACTGTTAATTATAAGTTCGAAAAAAACGGGAATAATTACGGGAAAAATTACGACCAATAACAAGTTGTCTGCATTTAGAGGATGAATCAGGAGCTGAGCACTCGTAATATCAGCAGCGGAAACAGTTTATGAACTTTGTTTATGAACTGCGAATCAAGGTATTAATAACTCGCTATTTGAATACAATACCAAGTAACCTCGTTTTGACCTAAAAACGGTCCAAACACACACACACCACACATACACACATATACACATATACATATACACTGTTTTGGGCCAAAGGGAGGTTACTTGCTATTGTATTCAAATAGTCAGCAACTAAAATCCGACGTCAAAATGAGCAGTCGAGAAACTAAGAGTGCTCCAGCTCGTTTTTTTAGCAATTTAAATGAAAGGTTTTAATTTAAGTCAAGCAATTTAAAGTGAAGCCAATTTAAATCGAGAGAGCTTTGGCACCGATCCGATGCCAAAGTTCACAGCTTGCCTTCGTCATTTCGTTTCACATTTCAAAGTTCAGCGAAAAGGCAAACAATCTGAGTTTTCACGAAATAGTTAACTTTTTGTTACAAATAGATATGTCCGAAAAAAATGCTTTCAATTTATTTCCAGTAACTATTTGGAAATAAATTGATGATTGTTGTTTGTATCTACATGATTTTGGATAAATAAAATTTTTCTTCTTCAATTTCTTTCTCAAATTTGCAATAAAGTATCCAAAAACTCCAACGTCCGAAAAGTTCAGAAATGTTCTTGAACAATTTAAAGTTTTATTTTTGTGAATGGACATTACTGGAACAGCTGTTTGGCTGCTCCTACTAGTCTTTTAAGAGCTAGATTTATGATTGAAATGGCCGCGACAACGAGCCAACGTTTATTAAACCAATTTCAATTTCTTTTTTAAATATGTAAATTTCTGATCATCTGGCTAGTTGATTAAGTGTTAAAAAGATGATTTGTAGAAGTTCCAACGGTGCTTGATCCTTTATTTAGACCGTAACATGACAGAGAAAAACTACTAAACGTTAAGAAATTAGGCATAAAAACTTGCTGCAAACTGCGCCAAACATGAAATCTGCCGAGCTGCAAACAGAACAGCTCAAAAGTTAATTGGTAGTTTTGTTTGAGGCTTAGCGAAAATAAAAGGTATCTATAAGCATAAGATAATTGCATTAATTATTTGTTAATGAACGAAGTGGGATTTATCAGGTTATTCGGTCGTTTTTATAGGAAAGTCAAAAGTTGGTTCTTTTCAGTAGCTACAAAAACGGTTGCTTAATGGCAGGAAAACTACGCTCTCGGAAAAACAAGTTAGCGGCGCAAAAAACGTGATTCACATCTTATTTCGAAATTGGATTTAAATTTTGAGATTTCCAGCGGATTTTTATTATATTTGTTTTTGATAAAAGAAGAAAAGTCATAAAAGATACCTTAAACGTGATTTATTGTTCGAAAGTTAAAAATAGTTCTGAAAAAGCCATTCACCTTTTTCGGTGCTCTTTGACTTTTTCTGAAAAATTATTTCTATTTGTCGGAACGACTTGTCTAATAAAATGAAGATTAAATAAATAAGTAACGATTAGATAAGTTGTTGTTTCGCTAGCCGAAGGTGAGATTTTTATTTGTCGGAACGACTTGTCTAATAAAATGAAGATTAAATAAATAAGTAACGATTAAATAAGTTGTTGTTTCGCTAGCCGAAGGTGAGATGGAATTTATTTTTAGTTCGGCTAGTTCGCACGCAAGATTGGAGACATCAATTAGGATTTGCGTGATATATCATGTTGAAGTTTTTTGAGTCATGATTCGGACTGTTAATTATAAGTTCGAAAAAAAACGGGAATAATTACGGGAAAAATTACGACCAATAACAAGTTGTCTGCATTTAGAGGATGAATGAGGAGCTGAGCACTCGTTATATCGGCAGCGGAAACAGTTAATGAACTTTGTTTATGAACTGCGAATCAAGGTATTAATAACTCGCTATTTGAATACTATAGCAAGTAACCTCATTTTGACCTAAAAACGGTCCAAACACACACACACACCACACATACACACGCACATATATACATATACACGGGTTTGGGCCAAAGGGAGGTTACTTGCTATTGTATTCAAATAGCGAGTTATTAATATTATATATATATATATTTTTTACAAATGAACGGATTGGAACTGACGATAGTGCAGCCGTCCACTTTTGTCTGCTTGGTTCTACATGACAAATGTCTGAGAAGCTCAATTTTGACATGTTAAAATCAAACATTATGCTCCAATAGTTCAATTCTCTTTTTTATAAAATCAAAATTTAATTAAAAAATTCTTCTTCGTTTGAGTTTTTTGCAGAAGAATGTGTTGTATGTTGTATTTATGTAAGATTTTTTGTTTTACTGAGCACGAACGTAGTAAAAAGAAGCGTTTGTACTAAATTAAAATTGAACGCGTTCTACATTGAAAACTTAATGTGAAAAATTAAATGTTTGAAAAAGTCAACGCAAATGGCGGCTTTAGAGCAGAAACAGCGTGATTATCTGCGACAGAACACAGTATTCAGCGACTCAGAAGTAAACCATCTGCTCAGACTATTCGAACGGGCAGCCAAATCATCACAGCAGGGTCAACCTCAGCAACAACAGCAGCAGCAGAGGATTGAACAGGGGGGCTCTTTTTCTTTCCCACCTCAAATTTGAAAAAGATTGAAATTTTGCGTAATGTCTTCAAGATTCAAAAAGCATAACCAAAACTAGGTAGAGCTTGAACCATATGCAACGAGGAAACAGTTTTCCTTACCAAAATAGTCCCCTTTAAAAATTTGCCACAATGATCAAATTAAACTAAATAAACAACAGATGCATACCCTAGCTTCAGCGATGTACGTACTTTTATAGCTTTTATTTGCGCAATCTTTAATAGTAGCATGCAAACGTAGAGTATGAATCTGGAAACTATATGAGGGGTTACGGAAAAGAAAAAGAGTTCTTGGGGTGGTAGTGCAGATAGGGAGGGGGGAACTGTGGACGCTGACTGATATCCCCGAGTGTACTGCCAATCCATTCATAGAAGCAGGCGGCAGACTCTATTGCAAAGGTAGATCACTCAATGTTATCCTTTCACGCATCTTAGCATAGATCACCTATTAGCCTTTTTTCACTCACAATCTACAATTAAAAACATTCCTTCGGTTCGGTCCAACACTAGTCAAAGTATGGAGAGGCAATTTTAGACGACTAGCCCGACAACAATTCGAAACAAAGTCGTGTTCAGTGTAGAAAAATATCCGAATTCACAATAAATGACCCAAAATTGTGAGCAAAAGTTAAAAAAAAAGGAACAGTCATGGCTTAATAGATTTTGATGATATCTTTTGCACCAAAAACTCGAAAGTAAGGGCTAAAAAAAAGACGTTTGGACCTAGCTTTGCTATAATTATGATTTAAGTTGTGTCTCAAAAACTGGTTTGCTTTACTTGCTGTTGCATTAACATGTCCTTACAATGCCTTCATCGTAGATTTTGTTTTGGAAATGTTGCTTGAAATCGGATCTTTGAAGCTTGGTTCTAACTAGGTTGAAAACTTTCGTTTTGCTGGATCAGTTAAATTAAGATTTTTTTTCCTGCGGATCAGTCGGAGCTTTTTAAAAAAAATTTGAGTTACGCTCAGGCGAGCACGTTTTTTTGTCAAGCTGGTAGAAAAATGTTAGATAGATTCGAAAAGAGCCAAACAAATTGTAATTTTGTCGAGTTAGTTAGCTCTCCTAATTGAACAGGACAGAAATTTTGGCTCGATTCGGTCGAACCAGCATACATCACTCAAACACAGTGAATCAGTAATTATCTGGTCAAATCGGTCGAGAAATAGATTGTCTGTAGCTGATTGTCGTGTGACAATTAGAGCTTAGCTTAATATTCAAAATGCCTGAAGTCTTTTCAATATTCAAAATGCCTGAACAATTTTGTCGAAATATTTTTCAGGCCAGCCATTTGCTTGATTTCTGGGAGGGGAAAATATATTCAAAACGGTAGCAAAAAAGGACTGAAAGTTAAATGGCCGAAGTTTAGCACACTTTTGATGCTTTAGACCAAGGAATGATAGTTAGGGTAGATCGTCCTCCAATAAAAACTTGAGTCTTTCAATTCGAACGTTTCTAAGTTTGTTATTGTTCCGACTTTCGATACGAAAGTAACGGAATATTTGTGCTCGGGTTGAGTTTTTTTTCTTCAGACAAATTTCGACTTTTTAACTAGCGACTTTTGACGGAATTTTTTTTAATCATTCGAAAGGCATTGTTGTCTTGAGCTCAAATTTGAAAAGATATTTCACCTGTTATTGTTTTTCGTAAAATTATGGGGGTTTAAAGATTGCCATCTTGGCCAATTTGGGACAATTAACGCGCGATATATTTCGCGCTATTAACGCGTGAGCGGGAGAGTTAATCCGTCTTAGAAATCGTTCCAAATTGGTTGAAAGAAGCTTATTTTCCATAATTGATTTGTTACAAGGAGCGAAATATATCCTATTGTACTCTATATGGCGTGTGGGGAGATGATTTTCATTTAAAAAAATCCAAATTTTTTTTAAAAAAAATTTAATTTTGTTTTATTTCATTTAATTTTTTAAAATTTTAATACAGCTCAATAAACCTTAAAAGGCAGTCGGAACATTCAGGGCTTCGCCCTGATACGAGCAGTCTTGTTCATTCTATTGTTCATATCGTCTTCTGTTTACTATTCAGACGATGGCGCGATTGACTCATTTGAGTTTATCAAACTGATGAACATGTTCTCCCCCAAGACCCCGGCAGACAACAAGCGTCGCTTCCTGTTCCGCATGCTCGACATCTACCTCACAGACTACATAGACTACGACGACGTGTTCCGCTTCCTCAAGATGATATTGGGGCCAGCGGTGCCAGGTTGCTATGAACTCCAATCATTTATGCAGCGTTTATTAGTCATTGTTGGCTTATTAATGCTTGAGTGGGAAGGAACTATGGCGTAACGTGGTGTTTTTGCAGCTAATTTTGCAAGTGAAATATCACAGTCAAGTGAAATGTCACATTAATAATAATCATAATAATAATAAACATAATCATTATTACCCTTGGGATAATAAGGGTATTGCAATCGGGTACTCGACTTTTTTCCCGTAAACAACTTTATGCACAGGACTCATCAGTAGTGTACTTCTGGACTCATCTCTAGAGTTACCTTCTGAGTGTTCCCGGCCAACTTCAAATTCTTAGCGTTCCCAGCCCACTTAGCCAAGAGGAAACAAATTCGCCTGGTACTGCAAAGGTTCTGGGTTCGAAACTGTCCGTGACCTGTTTTGTTTTTCAAACGGGAAATATTCCGCTTCAAAAAAATGTCGGCTTATTATTTTTCGACTTACGTTTTGTCGGCCTAGTTGCCTTATCGTAGAATTGTTTTTTCTTGCTATGCACAATTTGCATAGTAATTGCTCTTAGTGTTATGATTTACTTCTGCTGTTTATAATTTCTTGATTTGTATATTTTCTTTTTGTTTGTTTTTTTTCCTTTCTTTTTTTTCAGTCCAAATGATTTCGGCTTATATCTTATTGGTGCCTGTGTGTCATGAGGTTGAGGGGACTCGTTTTGAAACTCGAATTTGGTTTCGTTTTTTTTTTAATTTTCTTTTTTTTCACCTTTCTTGTTTTTTATCTTTTATTATTTTAGCTTAGTGGCCTCATATTGGGTTATTTGACGAGTAATTAAAAGTTTTTGTTTGTTTCTGTTGAGGGCGAGGGACTTGTTAACTTTTAAAGTCTTAAGTCTCGTTGATTTTTTTCTGCTTAAAGTGTTTTTGCTAACGTATTTTCGGCGTTGCTACCGATACTGTTTGGTAAATTTGTTTCCGATGCTAGTTTTAACTTTTTAAGTCTAAAGTCTCGTTGATTTTTTTCTGCTTAATGGGTTTTTGCTAACGTATTTTCGGCTTTGCTACCAATACTGCTTGGTAATTTTTTTTCGACGCTAGTTTTACATTCTATTGCCTTGTATAATTGTTGTATTGCAAATGCTGCGAAGCTCAGCTTCGCCTACGTGTAATAATAATAATAAAAATAATATTAATAATAATATTAATATTAATCATAAGAAATAAGAATTAAGGATGTCCCCCAAGGGAGATGTTGCTCCCGAGTTCCAGTTTTTCTAAAGTTCATTTGAGTTTATGTTGGTTTCTGGTTTATTGAACCGGCTTTGACGACAAAGTATTATCTAAGTATGGCGTACACAAAATATAATTGTATAACCCTCTTAGTTTCTTTAAGTTGTTTGAGATTACGCCATTTGTTTCTCTTTTTTTAAAGAGAAGTGAACGTAGTGAAGACTCTTATATAGGTCTTGGTGATTTCTATTTCAGGAAAAAGTGTTAAAACGCTCTTATAACTTCAGGTGTGCATTCATAAATGTTAATGCATTTAAGACTGCACTTAGGCAAATCTCGACTTTTTGAGTTCATTTAAAATTCGTCTGCTGAAAGTTACGTAAATAGCACTCTCCAAATACTAACGTGGAAATGGCGCAAAAAAACGTGAACGATTTCTAGTTTTGAAAGTGGAATTTAATTTAATAATTTCCAGCGGAATAAAAACTTTACCTTTTGATCCAGTTTTGTGAAGTTCGGTTAATGTTATCAAAAAATCACCAATCATAAATTGTTCTACAAATTCAAAGAGCTTAAAAGGTCTAATTTTTTTCTTTGAAATTACTTGCGTTCATGGTTGAGATTTACTTGCGTTCAAAACAAAGTCATGTTTTTTTTCTGATTACTTGCGTTCATTACTCTATTCTAACTCATTTTTCTTTTAGATCACCGTCTGATAGAAGTTTCGCAAGTTGTCCTATCGAGGAAAGACTTGAAGTATCCTGGGAAAGTCTGCTACGAAGATTTCTGCAAGTTTGTGTCCCTGCAAGAAGCACATTTGAGGTTAACAGTTGCCATTCAGTTTCCACGGGGCAACGAGAACAGATAAATGCATAATCTTTGAATATTTTGTTGAAAACGTACTATACTCAGTTATTGCTCTCATTTTCATATTTAGTGTCTATAATTCAGTGCACTCTTCTTAAATTAAAAATACAACACGTGCTTCAAGGATTTGCGCTGCGTATAGTTTTTGTAGAAAAAAGCCATAAAAGCTAACTTCTGAGTTTGCCTAGACCTCATTGGCCATTTAGTCTAAAATTAAACTATATATTCCTAACACTAATCTGAAAAAAGAGCAAAACTTTTGAAAAAATTTCATTGTTGAGGAAAAAATCAGCAGTTTAAACGTCAATTTTGATTGGCCCATGGAAAAACTGAAAAGTTCGCGGTTTTTTGAGCAAACTGTTTTTGGACTACTAATAAAAATTGAATAAGATTGCGACTAAATTTAGGACTCGCCTTTTGTGAATTGTCTATCTGTGAATATTTTTTTGGGAAAATATGAATGTTTCAAAATGGCAAAAAAAGCCAAATAATTTTTTTTTACATAGGTAAGCCAATTGCCCGTAGTTTGTTGTTCCAGCTATTTACTATAATCAGACTGTAATTGGAATGAACACTACATGAATCTAGCTGCAACTCTGAGAGCGTTTCCTCTATTTCTTTGAATACACAAAGAATTATACGGGCTTGGGTGATTTTGAAAGTGTACATTTTAATCAATAACCAGCTATTAAGTACAGCCAACGCTAAGAATATTAACACAGAATATTATATTACAGAAATCATCTAAACTTCAAGGTATCATGAATCTGTACCGTAAAGGTAGGGAAGGAGACCCGCAACAAAATAGGGTTCGAACCTGGGCAGGGTCGAAAGTTTAAATTTTTTGATACAGGTTAAAACGCGTCCGCTCTATAAATTGAGGCATGTTAGTTGGTAAATTCTTTTTCAAATTGACTGATACTGCTATTGTGTCATAATTTGCTTGCGTCATTTAGCCATTATGTAAACTCATAATTGGCGTGCGTCACTAAAAAACTTTTGTAGACTAAAAGTTTTACTCATTCCATTGTTCCCAGTAGCTTCATGGGTCATATTTTTGCTTGTGTATATGAAGTACAACTTCGCCTCTGTTTTGAGTTTTTAGATTGTTCTGTGCGAAATGTGCGATTAAAAAACTTAAAAATGTTTTTTTAATACTTTTTGAATATAATAGGCCATGGAGCTCAAATTGAAAAAAGTTCTACGTGGAGAAATTACAATTTATCAATTAATGGCTTAAATTTGCCCAATTTAATTGCAGGTAATAAAAATTTTTCAACGCGCAAGCGTGAATTACTTGAGCGCGTATGATTAATCCAAGGTTTAAAGTGCTCGAATGGTCATTAAAAATGGAATTGAGGCAATGTAACTGCTCAACAGTTTTTGCCATTTACTACATTCAATTTATTCTGTACTTGTTGTTCCGACCATTGAATGACATATCATATTAAAGGAGGAAATTTTTGATTTTCCGTCTATTTCCGAGCGAGAAAAGCGATCAATTAATGATTGTTATTTAAAAGTATTTTTGTAGACTTAAGGCTTCGTGCTTTATTGCGAATAAAAGGTCTCTAAAGAAATTATTTTAATGCTAAAAAATTATAATATATGATATTTTTTAAATGAACTTTTTTCATTTTTTGGTTGTTTTTTTTTCTTCAGAAAACAAAAGCTGTCGACCATGTCGAATGCTGTAAGTTTCTTCTCGTTTGTATAGTTCATGTAAATTGCTCTCCGCACCATAGAAGAACAGCAATGTGCAATAAGGAATTGTTTTTTTTAACTTAGTTTTTTCATGAATATGGTCGGAACATTCTGTGCTACTTGCACAGCAACAGGCTATCCTTGTTACTCTTGAATTGGTTTCTTTTCTGAGAATTCCAATTTACCGTTTCAATCAAACCTGCAACTTCGAGTTTCATATTTAACAAAATTGCTTACACGGACCAACTGTAATGCAAGTTGCCGCAAGATTTACTTAATAGCAAACACTTTTTGTGCTCATAAAACATATTAAATCAATGATTGCCTCAAGTGTTTTGCAATGATGAAACGAAGCATTGACGTTTATCTCTTTTTACTTTTTCACGATAAATTATGTGGCACAAATAATCATAGCAATCAGAACTTTCACACTGTTGGTAAAACCGGTTTTAGTCTAACGTTGAACCATTAAAACGATCGCGTTACGCTTTTTTATGCAAATTGGTGTTTCATTTGAGGAAACACTGTTTTTGGAGGCTTCTTTTAGCTTTTTTTTTGCGATAAAGTTTTGCAAAACTGAAAATTGTTCTGGAAAGAGAATTTTATCATTTCATTTTTTTTTTCAATTTTCAAATGTTAATTCTTTGAAAACATCCGATGCAGATAAGGCCTTATACACTATTTTTCTACGATTTGTATAGTTCTCGCATCACACTACGCGTTAAAAAAACACTAATTTGAAGAAAGGCAAAGAAAAACCTTTTTTTTGTAGTTCTTATGAATGTGGTCGAACAAGATTTGCTTAACTCGAAATTTCTTAAAATGCATAGCCGTAAAATTGTACTCGAACTAATTTAATGTGTATCTTTCAAAACCAAAAAAAAAATTGGCAAGTGAAAATTGGGTTGGCTTAGGCTGGAGGCTTTGATATCTTTGGTAGTCAAGATCTGCAGGACTACTCAGACTACAAAACAGACAAAAAGCTTTCAAAGGCAACATTTTATGCATAGTTTTTAAATTACTTTCATGCAGGCTATCTTTAAATTGCCTTTGATGGTTTAAAGTTTCAAAATTTTCCTTGACATTTGCTTGATATAGTATAATTGTTTTTTTACTTTTTCCTGAACAAGTTTTTGAGTTTCCGGAACACGGGACACTTGTTTTCCTGCTTCTTGGTTGAGTCCAAGTCTGCTGGGTCGGGGGAGTGCGCCACTATAGAACTACTGTTAATTGGGTGGTTGTAGTGTCTTCTTCCGTTGGGTCTGGGCTGTTTACACTGGACATTATAGTGCCATGGGTAGGAGAAGGCGGAGTAAGGCATGTCATAGGGCCTAACAACACGGGAAACCGATTACTCACAATTCCATCCCTACTGATTCACTTGAACTTTGAAAAACGTTAACAAATTGGATGCTCCTTTTCTGTTTTTGAGTAGCTGTTTTTTATATTTTGAATAAATATAGCTTTTAATTTTTTTTCATGACAGGTTCATATTTGAAATTTGTTGTGAATTTCAAGATTTTCTGGTGGGCAGCGTGTTTGGTTTGTGAAAACTTTGGTAATGTGAAAAAGAAATTAATTTGCAGAACAAAATGAGTGAGTGAACCTGTTGTTTGCGGGGTAGTTGGCAGAAGCAGTATTCGAAGTGTATGCTGTGTTTGTACAGTAGGCGGTGGTCTGCTGTGATGTCTGCATGGTGCTGCTCTCTCTCAAATTTTTCTCCTGTTGTTTCAGGGCAAAATAGTAGGCAGAAGGAGGGTTAACATTCCCTTTGATCCCCTCCCCCGTTACTCCACCCCCAGGGGGCATCAGAGGATTGGGGTAGTTGTAGTGGCCCAAACCACACTCATCGCTGTCACAACTCATGACTAAATTCACTTGACCACGGCTTTGCTGCTCTAGTTTATTGCTGAGAGCAGTCCATATAGCTGCAGGCTCCAAAGTTTGTCAGCTAGCTTATACTACAATTTAGTGTATCTGGAAAAACTCAGCGCAAAATCTTTGATTTTTGGTGATCAAAACACTTCGTAAAACTTCTCGGAATAACTAATTTTTATGAAAACAAAAATGCAATCCGCTGCATTAGACGAATTTATTTGTAAAACTTTTTAAACTGTTTAATCAAATGACGAGTACGCGATATTTTATACGGATGAGTTTCATCAGATAATAAGTCTGTTTTGTTTTTGTCTCTATCTAAGTTGCACAAACTTGAATCGAAATTGAGAATGGGGACTGAGTCCACAGACAAAAAAGAATGACTTCAAGTGTCTACCCTTTATTTGGGACAATAGCCGAATTGTCATTGTTCGGTTCAAAAAGCTGCTACCCTGCAGCTCAGTCGATGACAAACTCTTATGAGTCACTACATTACATAGTTTAAGTTCATTAAATTCAATAGGAAATTCATTACATAGTTTAAGTTCATTAAATTCATTAGGAAATTAATTACATAGTTTAAGTTCATTAAATTCATTAGGAAATTCATTACATAGTTTAAATTCGTGTATGCTTAGCTGTTGAACTAGTCCGGGAGGAAACGTTTTACAAGATACCCTAGAAGAAAAAATATATGAAGACCACCCGGGTTGAGTTCCATTGCAAATTAGCGATGGAATTTTGTAAAAGCTGTGATCGCTAGACCGTCAATGTTTTTCGACAAATAACCGCTAATTTAACTATGAAAAAGCAAAATGCTCGGATAATTCCACGTCTTTTTAAGATTAAGTTTGCAATTTTTCATCGCTAATTATAACAGAGAACTCAACTCGGACTGTACACCCTGTAAATAAAAAAATGAGTCAATTCCACGAACAATGTTATGTGGAATCCGCAAATGCCGTTAGACCAAGCAGCTTGTCGTGCCTTACTTTTGCCGCTGTGCTCAATTGTTTTCTCGAACAAAAAGTGCCTTCAAACTCAGAGTTAGCAAAATACCTCAGTCGCAACGAGATCAAACTCGTGACCTACTTTTTGTTAAATGAGAAAGAAGTTTAATAAATGTGATCTGCTCATGGAAAATTGATTGTTTCCTGAAAAGTTTTGATTATTATGCTGAACAATAACTTCAGGAAAAACAAACCGAGAGTAATGAAAACGCATAAAGTGTTTTTAACTATAGATCAATAAAGTGAGTACTGGACGATTTCATAAAAATAGCTGGTCAGAAACTCAGATTGCTAGAATGTGTGCCAAGAAAAGGAATAAACTACATCGAAGTTATTGGCCATAAAAATGAGACCAAAGACATTCATTAAAAAATTGAAAAAACTTTCTCTTTTTTTACTCTTGCGATAAGCAAGGGTGTTGCAATCTGGTGTTAAACTTTTTCACCGTGAATAATTTTAGGTACAGAATTGTCAAAAGTGTAGAAATGGTAAATTCCAGCAATGGTCAATTTCAGACATGTGCAATTTCTT